CTTACATCACCAGGTCATTGTGGATTACTAAAGTATAATATCTCATAACAAATCATGATAACGTTGGATAGATAGATGCATGTGTAACGAAGACGCTGGGAGTCAGGAAGCAGGTGCAGTTGGTGAATTTAATAATAATGAACAAGAGCGATACAAAACAAGAGAAGCGTCTGGACATGAAAACAGAACCAATACTTCCTGAAGAGTGATACTGTTTACATTGATCATCCTTGAGATGTTTCTACAACTTGATTGGAGTCCACCTGTGGTAAATTCAATCGATTGAACATGATTTGGAAAGGCGGACACACCGGTCTATATAAGGTCCCACAGTTGACAGTGCATGTCAGAGCGAACAACCAAGCCATTACATTTACATTACATTTCAGTCATTTAGCAGACGCTCTTATCCAGAGCGACTTACAGTTAGTGAGTGCATACATTATTTTTTCATACTGGCTCCCCCGTGAGGTCATGAGGTCGAAGGAATTGTCCATAGAGCTCCGAGACAGGATTGTGGGGAAGGGTACCAAAACATTTCTGAACCATTGAAGGTCCCCAAGAAAACAGTGGCCTCCATCATTCTTAAATGGAAGAAGTTTGGAACCACCAAGACTCTTCCTAGAGCTGGCCGCCCGGCCAAACTGAGCAATTGGGGGAGAAGGGCTTTGCTCAGGGAGGTGACCAAGAACCCGATGGTCACTCTGACAGAGCTCCAGAGTCCCTCAGTGGAGATGGGAGAACTTTCCAGAAGGACAACCATCTCTGCAGCACTCCACCAATCAGGCCTTTATGGTAGAGTGGCCAGACGTAAGGCACACCTCAGTAAAAGGCACATGACAGCCCGCTTGGAGTTTGCCAAAAGGCACCTAAAGACTCTCACACCATGAGCAACAAGATTCTCTGGTGTGATGAAACCAAGATTGAACTCTTTGGCCTGAATTTAATCAATTTAAGAATAAGGCTGTAACATAACAAAATGTTGAATAAAGTCAAGGGGTCTGAATACTTTGAGTCCACTGTAAATACCACTTGAAGCTTGATGATGAGTTCATCATTTGAATCAGCTGTGTAGTGCTAAGGCAGAAACAAAACTGTGCACCCCTTTGAGTCCCCAGCCCAGGACCAAGATTAAGAACCACTGCTCTTTATTGGGACCTCTTCATCTGTAGACAGGCTTTCACAGCTCTCTGTATCTGAGGACAGAAAACATCACAAGAAACATACTTCATTATACTCAAATTAGACAGCACTGAATATTATGTTACTATTATCTCTGTCCTCAATTCTAGGGACTGGAACTACACAAAAGTACCTGCCCTATCCAGAATAGCCTACTCTCTCCCTTCTTTGACAGTTGGAGCTGCAATCCTTTCATCCTGCTCCATGGCTGTTAGCTAGCTACCAACAAATGCATTTGGAGTTTGTGTTTAGCTAGCTAATATGAAGTTAGGTAGCTGGTGATATTTAATTCACTTAGCTAGCTAGCTAGCTATACAGTATGTAAAGTTGGCTAGATAGCTAGCTAGCTACTTTAGCAGCTCAATTGAGTTATCCTGCACTGTAGCTAGCTAGCTAGCTAATAATACATTTTTTTTTTACATTTTCAAAATGAATTTACTTAGGTTCTCCCAACCATGTGGACAATTGGAGACTGGGCAACAATGTTTGTTTGTCACCAGAGCGGTTTAGAACGTATTACTATTTGCCTGTGAATAAATGAATGAAAACGAAGAATGGGTTAAACTATTTACCCATTTAATAACCAGACCTTCATGCAAACTTGCTATACTGAATTATTGATGCACAACCGAACATGCTGCCATATGCTGCCAGCATGCCCAAACGCGAGCCAATCGTGTGCTAGTGTACAATAACTATTACACCGAACTGTTACAACTCGATTACACCGATAGTGTCAATGCATTTTGGTACACCAGAAGTACATTAATTTCCAATGGAACGCTGCGTTTGCCTTGCAGCATTGGGTTGCAGAGGCAGTTGCAGTGCGTTCTGTGTGGTGCATATGTTGGATTTATCGAATGTATGCGTCAAAGTGTATGCCTAGAAGGCTTGACAGAAATGGTAGCAGAAGGTGAATGTTGAACTTTTGTTGCACACATATCCAGATGATGCTGCAAACCATTTTGCTCAATAACACGATCAGTGTGATCGATCACACCGAGAGTGTTCGTTATTGCATTTTGGTACACCGGAAGTACATTCGTTTCCAATGGAACGCTGCGTTTGCCTTGCATCATTATGTGGCAGAAGCAGTTGCAGTGCGTTCTGTGTGGTGCATACGTTGGATTTATCGAACGTATGCATCAAATTGTATAAGTAGACTTGACAGAAAGTAGAAAAATTTGAATGTTGAACTTTTGTTGCACACATATCCAGTAAAGAAATTACATAATAAAAAAGGTTTGACTGCAGAATTTCTTCAGGTCTGTGTGGGTCCAGGGATGGTTGAAGTCCCGAAAGCAGGCGCCTGGCGATTTGTCTCCGGTAAGCTAAATTCAAGTGAATTTTTAAAGCCTTTGATACTGTAATTGATTGATATAAATATTTTATGTGCTACCTAGCTAGCTAAAGGGCTCTGTAGTTAATAGCCCTTATGTGACATCAGATGTACTTTTACAGATTGTTCATTAGGCCTATTACTTTTCCCAAAGTTGGTTTAGAATCCTTTTTTAGGGACCTCCCGAGTGCCGCAGTGGTCTATGACACTGCATTGCAGTGCTTGAGGCGTCACTACAGACCCGGGTTCTATCCCAGGCTGTGTCACAACCGTCCGTGACTGGGAGTCCCATAGGTCGGCGCACAATTGGTGAGGGAGAAACTGACAACCTACTTCTCATCGCCAGCAGGTGAAGTCCCATAGCAGCATGCCGTGGAGTAAAACAGCTCTTTTAAGAGCCCACTAACACAAAAGTTATTTTAAGAACCATCTACCGTTGTCATAAAATATATTTGTTCCCCTCCGATTATTTAATGTCTCATTGTCTCTCTTCATTTGGAAGTTATATTAAGTGAAATTTGGGAGTAAAGACCACACCTTAACCCCTTCCCTTTCCCATTAACATCAGTATTATACACACCTGACATGGTACATCAGGTGAGCAGGAGCTCTAATTAAGGTTATATACGACATACAGTTAAGTATGATAACAATGGGAAAGGTTAACCTAGGGTCCATACAAATAGTACAGTTTTCCACCATCTTCACCGGTCTGACAACAAAATGCAGGTGGGAAAAAAACAAATTAGGAAGAGAATGGGTATTTGCTTTCATCTGGTATTAGATCTGCAAAGGTGTAGGGAGGAAATTAGGAGATTAAGTCTAAATGAGATACTAATAAAGAAATGAAACAACTGACTATAAAAGCATTGGAATTTAATAAGTATTCAACTACAGGAAAGAACATGACAGGTGTGTTATAAATTTTTATGTACAATGTTGTCAACAAAATTAGGTTGCTGTTACTTCAGACCCTATTGCAGAATGCAGCCTTTTGACAGCATGTACTAAAGTCGATTTAATCCACTTGCATTAGTCCCTTCGTTTCGTTATTGGCATTTACAGTGCCCTCCACTAATATTGGCACCCTTGGTAAATATGAGCATAACGGGCTGTGAAAAAAAAATTTTTTGCCGTTTATCCTCTTGGTCTTTCATTCAAAATATTCACACAAGTAAAACGTTAAAAAAAAAAGTGAAATCAATATTTTTCTCCGAAACATGTGTGCCACAATTATTGGCACCCCTTGCAATTCTTATGAGTAAAATCTAACGAGTATATTCCCATTCAGATGTTATGTTAAATTAGTTCACCTGAGTGATTAGGAACACTTAAGTGGTAAACCATGACTTCCTGTTTCACTGGGGTATAAATATGAGGTGGCACACAGGCCAAGTTCCCATGGTCATCCATCACTATGGAAAAGACCAGATAATACAGTAATGATGTGTGATAAAAGGTTGTTGAGCTGCACAAAATCAGGAAATGGCTATAAGAAAATAGCTCAATGGTTAAAAATGCCCAATTCCACTATCATGGCAATAATTAAGAAGTTTAAAGCAACTGGAGATGTTAACAATCAGCCTGAAAGAGGACGTGTGTCTATATTGACCCCACTCACAGTGAGGAGGATGGTTTGAGTGGCCAAAAAATCTCCAAGGATCACAGCTGGAGAATTGCAGACATTAGTTGGGTCTTGGGGTCAGAAACCCCTGGCCTACAATAAACATTTCAACAAATTGAACTAAACATACTTCCTATTAATGCTGAGATTGTATCATCAGGGTTTGTTTAATACTCATGGTTTCATTTGTTTTCTTAAAACATTATAACTGTACTTCTTCTGATTGTAGTGGCAAGGTAGGTACATGATGATCATCTGACACAATATTAACATTCAAAGGCTTTAGGTAAGAAGTGAAAATCCCACACTGTTTACTTCAACATTATCAATTCATGACATACTAACATTAAGAAAAAAAAACGAATGAATGTGTGTAAATGTCAATTACCTTACTGTTAAAGGTAGAAGGGCACCACCTCTTGAGCAAATTTCAATATACTCTTGGCAACAAAAAAAAAATGCACCTTTAGAACATAAGGGAATCTTGTAATGTGAGATAATGAAGTAACAGAGACTGGTAATGTTCAAGTGTTTAAATCTAGAAGTACAAAGACAATATAAATATATTAAATTAAAATACATGTTGTCAGGGGTCATAGCACCTCAGCAGGAGAATTCTGTACAAATCTAGTTGTGGATCATTATTTACAGTTGAGGTAATATATTTGGGGAAAGGTTGGATGGTATTTGGAATTCCCTCCTACACCGAGCAGCAGCAAATCAAGTCCTTCTGCCACATTTATCATCTTAAGGCTTGTATAACGTCCCCAAAATCACAATAGAGGGTGATGTTGGACAGATGCATTGCATACATGACACAAACAGATTCCCATTCTAACTGGTAACAGGTACCTAAGGGTGCTGATGTTTGGGAATCATCAGTCTAGGTTTCTTGGACTCAATGATCCTCAGACATCGCTTGTAGAGGCGAATAGGAGGCCCTCTTTGTGTGTCTTTACTTGTGCTCTGAGCATTAAGTCTTCCTCTTTCCTCCATGCTTTTAAGGACTTGAATTAGGTCAGTGGCTTGGGAAAATCCAGTAGTACAGCTACAGCAAGAGAGCGAAGAAAAATATATAAATACTTGAACCGACAGCCACATGCACAGTTTCACTAAGTATTATTGTTATTAGATTGACAGTAGGTAAGACACTGACACATTGCATGTAACGTAACAATAAACAATCAGCCTTGTGAAGAGATCCATTGAAAAAGTTGTGGCTCACTGCAAATCTATCATCCTTTGAATTTGAGCCACCAACCTTTTCCCTCCATGACATTCTTTAACACTTGGCACGTTGAAGCAGGATAGAGACACAAAATCCTGCAGGAGGGATTGGAGAATTTTGGTCTTCTCCAAGTATCTGATCTGACCAGCCAGCCTGAAATGTGATGGAGAAAGGTAGAGGGACAGAGGAGACAGGTGGTCCAGGTAGACAGACAGTTGATGAGGAGAAAAAGAAGTTAAGAGAAAGACAGAAACACTATCAGAAAGGAAATATGGGGAGACCGTATATGTGTGAGTGTGTGTGTGCACGTGTGTGTGCATGTAACATGTATGCGTCCATCTTGCGTAGTTATCTAACCCAGCAGGCACGAACCCTCTAACCCATAGTTATTTAACGCAGCTGCAGATACTTTAACACAGTACATTTTAGAGACAGTGTTCAGCATACATTGTACCAGTGGAGGCTCCTCAGAGGAGGAAGGGGAGGACCATCCTCCTCAGTGAATTTCATAAAAATAGTGAAACATAAAAAAAAAAAGTTATCCTTTTAGATAAAACTATACTAAATAAACTCTGCAAAAAAAGAAACGTCCTCTCACTGTCAACTGTGTTTATTTTCAGTAAACTTAACATGTGTAAATATTTGTATGAACATAACAAGATTCAACAACAGACATAAACTGAACAAGTTCCACAGACATGTGACAAAGGGGGGGGTCAAAATCAAAAGTAACAGTCAGTATCTGGTGTGGCCACCAGCTGCATTAAGTACTGCAGTACATCTCCTCCTCATGGACTGCACCAGATTTGCCAGTTCTTGCTGTGAGATGTTACCCCACCAAGGCACCTGCAAGTTCCCGGACACTTCTGGGGGGAATGGCCCTAGCCGTCACCCTCCGATCCAACAGGTCCCAGACGTGCTCAATGGGATTGAGATCCGGGCTCGTCGCTGACCATGGCAGAACACTGATATTCCTGTCTTGCAGGAAATCACGTACAGAACGAGCAGTATGGCTGGTGGCATTTTCATGCTGGAAGGTCATGTCAAGATGAGCCTGCAGGAAGGGTACCACATGAGTGAGGAGGATGTCTTCCCTGTAATGCACAGCGTTGAGATTGCCTGCAATGACAACAAGCTCAGTCCGATAATGATGCTGTGACACACCGCCCCAGACCATGAAGGACCCTCGACCTCCAAATCGATCCCACTCCAGAGTACAGGCCTTGGTTGTAACGCTCATTCCTTCATCGATAAACGCAAATCCGACCATCATCCCTGGTGAGACAAAACCGCAACTCGTCAGTGAAGAGAACTTTTTGCCAGTCCTGTCTGGTCCAGCGACGGTGGGTTTGTGCCCATAGGCGACGTTGTTGCCGGTGATGTCTGGTGAGGACCTGCCTTACAACAGGCCTACAAGCCCTCAGTCCAGACTCTCTCAGCCTATTGCGGACAGTCTGAGCACTGATGGAGGGATTGTGCGTTCATGGTGTAACTTGGGCAGTTTTTGTTGCCATCCTGTACCTGTCCTGCAGGTGTGATGTTCAGATGTACCAATCCTGTGCAGGTGTTGTTACACGTGGTCTGCCACTGCGAGGACGATCAGCTGTCCGCCCTGTAGCGCTGTCTTAGGCGTCTCACAGTACGGACATTGCAATTTATTGTCCTGGCCACTTCTGCCTTCCTCATGCCTCCTTGCAGCATGCCTAAGGCACTTTCACGCAGATGAGCAGGGACCCTGGGCATCTTTCTTTTGGTGTTTTTCAGTCAGTAGAAAGGCTTCTTTAGTGTCCTAAGTTTTCATAACTGTGACCTTAATTGCCTACCGTCTGTATGCTGTTAGTGTCTAAACGACCGTTCCACAGGTGCATGTTCATTAATTGTTTATGGTTCATTGAACAAACATGGGAAACAGTGTTTAAACCCTTCACAATGAAGATCTGTGAAGTTATTTGGATTTTTACGAATTATCTTTGAAAGACATGGTCCTGAAAAAGCGATGTTTCTTTTTTTGCTGAGTTTATATTCATGTCACCAAATAATTGATTAAAACACACTGTTTTGCAATGAAGGTCTACAGTAGCCTCAACAGCACTCTGTAGGGTAGCACCATGGTGTAGCCGGAGGACAGCTAGTTTCCGTCCTCCTCTGGGTACATTGTAGGGCTGTCACCGGAAAAACAAACATCTTGGTAGACCGAAAGTCGTTTTTTAACGTGTATCTTTCCATATTTAGACACACCCTGTGTTTTAATAAAATCAACTATATGCTTGTCTGATGCTGTTTGATGAAATAAGACCCAAATGACTCAATAGGGAGCCAGAGATCAAGATAACCAGAAGAGAAAAACCTTAACCTGACCCGACCATCCTCCTCCCGCTGGCTTTCGCAGATTCTGCCATTACTCTCCTGAAGTTACCAGTAATAGGCTACACTAGAATGCCAATTTGTCTTACAATTTCTACCGATCTGCGTGCCTGTTATGGTTTTCATATGCACATTTTTGTGAAACAGTTTCATTGAATTTATAATAACGTCTTCGTATCTCAAATTCATTGTCATGTGGTTAATCAAAATTCTATCCAAATCTAAATTAAAATACAAACCTACATAAAGCCAACAAATAACAACATTGCAGCCTGCAGGTAGAAAATATCCTGATAAAAATATTTCTCCTATAAATCACATTGGCTATGCATGGCCTGTCTGCAACGAACTTGAAACATTGTATCAACTTGGGTCCAGTCCGAAGCTCGCACTAGCAGACTTGCAACGTATAAAATATTCTGGGCCCTCAGAGTTTCCCACACAAGTGAGCTCGGGACAGACACAGCTGTAGGCTTTTTTGTGCAAGGGATAAGAGCTCATCAGGTAGACCTATTTTATGACTATTTCCACTGGATCAGAGCATTACATTTTTCCCTTTCACGCAGAGTCGTTTTCGAAAGGGAGAGCTGGAAATATTTTTCAAATATATTGAGGAACTATTGTCATTTTCAATGGATGTAAAACCCGACTTTGTTTGCTTTCTGTTTGAGGTGAAGAAAACATTAATTTGAGAAGTTCCCCAGCTCATTAGTGGTGGTGCGTTAAGCCCATCAGAAATACTATCAGATCCCCAAGTGGGCACATTTATATGCCTACATTTGCGCGCAGACCAGGTAGCCTATAGGCCTACTTCTATGCATAATCAGTTTGCGTTCTTACTCAACATTGACAGTAGCGCTCCAATTAAAAGACCATTTTGACTTAATTGACAAAATTCGTAAATGGAATAAAATAAACCAAAACTTGTTTCTCACAAGTGTAGCATAGGTTGTGCGCCCTGCAAACAATGTGTCCACTCTGACAATGAGAATGGTAAAAGACTGGAATAATAATATATTGAATGCATGAACAGAAATTGCCATAACCAAATTAACGGTAAATGTAGGCTACTACTCGTGATATATGTAATGGGTAATTGATAGACACTAACAATCAAGGCAAACAATTCACACAATTAAGTTATGAAGAGAGAGAGCACATTCTGGAGGAGATGTGCATCATGCATTTTAGCCACACTGACCTTCCTCTTGGACTGTGCCATCCACCCGGCCTCCGCAATGGATCAGTCTCAGCCTACACAATGGATTAGTTCACTGAGATGGGCGCGAATCAGACAGGTGTCTTGTGTGCCATAAAATAATATAAATTAATTAATTTGCATTTTATTGCATGACATAAGTATTTGATACATCAGAAAAGCAGAACTTAATATTTGGTACAGAAACCTTTGTTTGCAATTACAGAGATCATACGTTTCCTGTAGGTCTTGACCAGGTTTGCACACACTGCAGCAGGGATTTTGGCCCACTCCTCCATACAGACCTTCTCCAGATCCTTCAGGTTTCGGGGCTGTCGCTGGGCAATACGGACTTTCAGCTTCCTCCAAAGATTTTCTATTGGGTTCAGGTCTGGAGACTGGCTAGGCCACTCCAGGACCTTGAGATGCTTCTTACGGAGCCACTCCTTAGTTGTCCTGGCTGTGTGTTTCGGGTCGTTGTCATGCTGGAAGACCCAGCCACGACCCATCTTCAATGCTCTTCCTGAGGGAAGGAGGTTGTTGGCCAAGATCTCGTGATACATGGCCCCATCCATCCTCCCCTCAATACGGTGCAGTCATCCTGTCCCCTTTGCAGAAAAGCATCCCCAAAGAATGAGGTTTCCACCACCATGCTTCACGGTTGGGATGGTGTTCTTGGGGATGTACTCATCCTTCTTCTTCCTCCAAACACAGCAAGTGGAGTTTAGACCAAAAACCTCTATTTTTGTCTCATCAGACCACATGACCTTCTCCCATTCCTCCTCTGGATCATCCAGATGGTCATTGGCAAACTTCAGACAGGCCTGGACATGCGCTGGCTTGAGCAGGGGGACCTTGCGTGCGCTGCAGAATTTTAATCCATGACGGCGTAGTGTGTTACTAATGGTTTTCTTTGAGACTGTGGTCCCAGCTCTCTTCAGGTCATTGACAAGGTCCTGCCGTGTAGTTCTGGGCTGATCCCTCACCTTCCTCATGATCATTGATGCCCCACGAGGTGAGATCTTGCATGGAACCCCAGACCGAGGGTGATTGACCGTCATCTTGAACTTCTTCCATTTTCTAATAATTGCGCCAACAGTTGTTGCCTTCTCACCAAGCTGCTTGCCTATTGTCCTGTAGCCCATCCCAGCCTTGTGCAGGTCTACCATTTTATCCCTGATGTCCTTACACAGCTCTCTGGTCTTGGCCATTGTGGAGAGGTTGGAGTCTGTTTGATTGAGTGTGTGGACAGGTATCTTTTATACAGGTAACTAGTTCAAACAGGTGCAGTTAATACAGGTAATGAGTGGAGAACAGGAGGGCTTCTTAAAGAAAAACGAAAAGGTCTGTGAGAGCCGGAATTCTTAATGGTTGGTAGGTGATCAAATACTTATGTCATGCAATAAAATGCAAATGAATTACTTAAAAATCATACAATGTGATTTTCTGGATTTTTGTTTTAGATTCCGTCTCTCACAGTTGAAGTGTACCTATGATAAAAATTACAGACCTCTTTGTAAGTAGGAAAACCTGCAAATTCGGCAGTGTATCAAATACTTGTTCTCCCCACTGTTTATATTTGGTACTGCTCGACATTTAAAAAAATATTGGTCGACCAACAGCCTATCAACCAAACAATCGACCAGTCGACTAATTGGGGTCAGCCCAAGTACATTGACTTCAATACAAAACCTAGGAGGCTCATGGTTCTCACCACCTTCCATAGACTTACACAGTAATTATGACAACTTCCGGAGGACGTCCTCCAACCTATCAGAGCTCTTGCAAAATGAACTGACATGTTGTCCACCCAATCAAAGGATCAGAGAATGAATATAGTACTGAAAACATAAGCTACAGCTAGCTAGCACTGCAGTACATACAATGTTGTGAGTAGTTGACTCAAAGAGAGAGAAAGACAATAGTTGAACAGTTTTGAAGGAGACGCAAGAGAGAGAGAGCGCTAGCTTTATTTCATTGTAATTGTTTCACTTTCACTTAGCTAGGTTATGAAGCTAGTTTAGCCTAGTCAAACACCGGCTCAAACAGAGTTGGATGCTATGTTAGCTAGCTGGCTATGGCTATCCAACACTGGAACTCTTCCAAGTCAAGGTAAGCTTTTGGATTTAGTAATTTATTGCCACCGTGGCCCATCGGTGTAACTGCTAAACTGCTTGCTGACTGTACACTGTACTGCATGTTTGTAGCGGCTTTACTAACGCGTTAGTTCTAGTAGCTATGTTGACTAGGTATGACGTTAGCTAATATGGTGACAACGATGTGGGCTGTGTCTAGCGGTTAGCGGTTATGATATGAAGGGGTATGGGTTGGAAAGGTTTTTTCGCCTGGTCACAGACAGCTGATGTGTTGTGCACTGAAGTCCACAAGCGAAGGGAAAAGGTGAGATGAGGGGAGCACGTAGATGCGAGAAGGAATTCTACAATGAGCAAAATGATCATGCTGTTTGTATGTGGCTGCTATGAAAGTAAACTGTTAGCGTCTGACTTCATCCCAGCCTATGCTACCCTCCAGTCCCTCGACTTCCTGGCGCTGACGGAAACATGGATTACCACTGAAAACACTGCTACTCCTACTGCTCTCTCCTCGTCTGACCATGTGTTCTCGCATACCCCGAGAGCATCTGGTCAGAGGGGTGGTGGCACAGGAATCCTCATCTCTCCCAAGTGGTCATTCTCAATTTTTCCCCTAACCCATCTGTCTATCTCCTCATTTGAATTCCACGCTGTCACAGTCACTAGCCCATTTAAGCTTAATATCCTTGTCATCTATCGCCCTCCAGGTTCCCTTGGAGAGTTCATCAATGAGCTTGACGCCTTGATAAGTTCCTTTCCTGAGGATGGCTCACCCCTCACAGTTTTGGGGGATTTCAACCTCCCTACGTCTACATTTGACTCATTTCTCTCTGCCTCCTTCTTTCCACTCCTCTCCTCTTTTGACCTCACCCTCTCACCGTCCCCCCCTACTCACAAGGCAGGCAATACGCTTGACTTCATCTTTACTAGATGTTGCTCTTCTACTAATCTCACTGCAACTCCCCTCCATGTCTCCGACCACTACTTTGTATCCTTTTCTCTCTCGCTCTCCTCCAACACTACTCACTCTGCCCCTACACAGATGGTAACGCGCCGCCGCAACCTTTGCTCTCTCTCTCCCACTACTCTCTCCTCTTCCATCCTATCATCTCTTCCCTCTGCTCAATCCTTCTCCCTCCAATCTCCTGATTCTGCCTCCTCAACCCTCCTCTCCTCCCTTTCTGCATCCTTTGACTCCCTGTGTCCCCTATCCTCCCGGCCGGCTCGGTCCTCCCCTCCAGCTCCGTGGCTTGACGACTCATTGCGAGCTCACAGAACAGAGCTCCGGGCAGCTGAGCGGAAATGGAAGAAAACTAAACTCCCTGCCGACCTGGCATCTTTTCACTCCCTCCTCTCTACATTTTCTTCATCTGTTTCTGCTGCTAAGGCCACTTTCTACCACTCTAAATTCCAAGCATCTGCCTCTAACCCTAGGAAGCTCTTTGCCACATTCTCCTCACTGCTGAATCCTCCCCCCCACCCCCCCCCCCCCCCCCCCCCCCCCCCCCCCCCCCACCCCCCTCCTCCCTCTCTGTGGATGACTTCGTCAACCACTTTGAAAAGAAGGTTGACGACATCCGATCCTCGTTTGTTAAGTCTAATGACACTGCTGGTCCTGCTCACACTGCCCTACCCTATGCTTTGACTTCTTTCTCCCCTCTCTCTCCAGATAAAATCTTGCGACTAGTGACTGCAGGCCGCCCAACAACCTGCCCGCTTGACCCCATCCCCTCCTCTCTTCTCCAGACCATCTCCGGTGACCTTCTCCCCTACCTCACCTCGCTGATCAACTCATCCTTGACCGCTGGCTATGTCCCTTCCGTCTTCAAGAGAGCGAGAGTTGCACCCCTTCTCAAAAAACCAACACTCGATCCCACTGATGTCAACAACTACAGACCAGTATCCCTTCTTTCTTTCCAAAACTATTGAGCGTGCCGTCTTTAGCCAACTCTCTTGCTATCTCTCTCAGAATGACCTTCTTGATCCAAACCAGTCAGGTTTCAGGACTGGTCATTCAACTGAGACTGCTCTTCTCTGTGTCACGGAGGCTCTCCGCACTGCTAAAGCTAACTCTCTCCTCTGCTCTTGTCCTTCTAGACCTGTCTGCTGCCTTTGATACTGTGAACCATCAGATCCTCCTCTCCACCCTCTCCGAGCTGGGCATCTCCGGCGCGGCTCACTCCTGGATTGCGTCCTACATGACCGGTCGCTCCTACCAAGTGGCGTGGCGAGAAGCTGTCTCCGCACCATGTGCTCTCACCACTGGTGTCCCCCAGGGCTCAGTTCTAGGCCCTCTCCTTTTCTCCCTATACACCAAGTCACTTGGCTCTGTCATATCCTCACATGGCCTCTCCTATCATTGCTACGCTGACGATACACAACTAATCTTCTCCTTTCCCCCTTCTGATAACCAGGTGGCGAATCGCATCTCTGCATGTCTGGCAGACATATCAGTATGGATGACGGATCACCACCTCAAGCTGAACCCTGGCAAGACGGAGCTGCTCTTCCTCCCGGGGAAGGACTGCCCGTTCCATGATCTCGCCATCACGGTTGACAACTCCGTTGTGTCCTCCTCCCAGAGTGCGAAGAGCCTTGGCGTGACCCTGGACAACACCCTGTCGTTCTCCGCTAACATCAAGGCGGTGACCCGATCCTGCAGGTTCATGCTCTACAACATTCGGAGAGTACGACCCTGCCTTACACAGGAAGCGGCACAGGTCCTAATCCAGGCACTTGTCATCTCCCGTCTGGATTACTGCAACTCGCTGTTGGCTGGGCTCCCTGCCTGTGCCATTAAACCCCTACAACTCATCCAGAATGCCGCAGCCCGTCTGGTGTTCAACCTTCCCAAGTTCTCTCACGTCACCCCCCTCCTCCGCACACTCCACTGGCTTCCAGTTGAAGCTCGCATCCGTTACAAGACCATGGTGCTTGCCTATGGAGCAGTGAGGGGAACGGCACCTCCGTACCTTCAGGCTCTGATCAGTCCCTACACCCAAACGAGGGCATTGCGTTCATCCACCTCTGGCCTGCTGGCTCCCCTTCCTCTGCGGAAGCATAGTTCCCGCTCAGCCCAGTCAAAACTGTTCGCTGCTCTGGCACCCCAATGGTGGAACAAGCTCCCTCACGACGCCAGGACAGCGGAGTCACTCACCACCTTCCGGAGACATTTGAAACCCCACCTCTTTAAGGAATACCTGGGATAGGATAAAGTAATCCTTTTACCACCCCCCCCCCCCTCCCCCATCAAAAATAAAATAAAATAAAAATAAAAATATTTTGGAAAGTGCTTATCCCACTGGCTACAGGGTGAATGCACCAATTTGTAAGTCGCTCTGGATAAGAGCGTCTGCTAAATGACGTAAATGTGCCCTTGAGCAAGGCACTTAACCCTAATTGCTCCTGTAAGTCGCTCTGGATAAGAGCGTCTGCTAAATGACTAAAATGTAAATGTAATCAGGGGTGTATTCATTCCGCCGATTCTGTTGAAAAACATTTCTTAAAAATGGAAGCAAAAGGAACGGGGATAAACATACCTGAATTTGTGCAATAGGAACTCTTGTTTGCAACTGTTGGACTAATGATTACACCCTAGATCAGCTAGATGCAGGTAAAAGTGTGCAAGGTCGTATTGAATGCGTCACTGTCTGTCACCTTGAAGACTCACATTTTTCTCTCGACCTGTGCACCTACATTGTAAACTTTCACTCATAGGCTAGGTTGTAGCAACCTCATGATAGGTATATTGAAAATGTGAGTATCATGTAGTAGCCTAAACCTATCAATGTTACATTGAGCTGGGTGAATGGAATATGAATGACAGTCATCCAATATGCTGTAATAGAAATAAAGCAATGCTCATAAAACATTTAAAAATCGTCCTCCCTCATCTTAAGTGTCACTGCATTGTACGGATACTGTCTCACCTGTGGGTGCAATCACAATGGTACACAGTCTTTGATTCCGTGTTGTGGAGATCATATCTCTTCTCTAAAGGGGAAATTTTGTATTTACATTCATCCAAATGCTTGAGGGTGCCACAAAGAAGCATATTATCTGTAACACAGAGAACAAACAGAACATACTGAAGCTAGCCGAGTCATGACAAACAGTAAGTGTCCTTCGTAATTAATGGGACAGAAGCATTTTTCTTCTTTTGACTACATCAAGCTTGTCACTCTACAAATGTGTTGGATGCATTTTCTGTTTGTTTTGGTTGTGTTTCAGAATTAGTTTTTGCCCAATAGAAATGAATGCGAAATAATGCATTGTGTCATTTTGTAGTCACTTTTATTGTAAATAAGAATAGAATGTTTTGAAACACTTCTACATTAATGTGGATGCTACCATGATTACGGATAATCCTAAATGAATCGTGAATAATGATGATTGAGAAAGTTAGACCCACAAATATCATACCCCACAAAAAAGATACCCTCCCCTGTTATTGTAATGGTGAGAGGTTAGCATGTCCTGGGGGTATGATATTTATGCGCCGGTAACTCACTCAACATTATTCACGATTCATTCAGGATTATCTTTAATCATGGTAGCATCCACATTAATGTTGAAGTGTTTAGAAACATATTCTATTCTTATTTAAAATAAAAGTGACTCCAAAATGACACATTATTTACCATTCATTTGGTCCCCTAAAATGGGGTGACTATGTACAAAAAGTGCTGTAGTTTCTAAACGGTTCATCCGATATGGATGAAAATACCTTCAAATTAAAGCTGACAGTCTGTACTTTAACCTCATCGCCATTGTATCATTTCAAATCCAAAGTGCTGGAGTACTGAGTAAATAAAATGCTTCACTGTCCCAATAATTACGGAGGGCACTGCATATCTATAATGGCATCATCAAGCTTTTCCTAGAAAGCCGAATTCAAGCTTGGGGCAGTTGCAGGCTGGCCATTTACCAGACTGATAGTGGGCTCATGGAGAAACACAAAAATACTACCTGTTGTCATAGATGGTGCACTCTCAGTAGGGGTTTGTATTAGAGGTGTGGTCCTTAGCTTTGAGGAAGCGGTCCTCTTAGTCACAGTTGGAGATGTTGTTGTCTTATTTGAGGGCATTGTTCTCTGAGTTTGAGATATTCTTGTCTGGGATGGTGATGCAGTCTTGTTTGCTGAGGATATGGTCGTTGGTGTTGTAGTTATCTGTTCCAAACAGGCTTTGCCTCGTTCCCCCCTCCAGCGGCGAGGCTGAACGGTATCTCCTCTTGGAGGGCCACAACGGTGAATTTTCCTAAGAGCCTTTGGGATTTTGGGACTTTTGGGTATAAGAGTTGTGGTTGTTAAAGTTGTTGTCTGTGGCGAAGGCTTTGGTGTTGATGTAGTCCTCTGCGTTGTTGTGGATGTTGTCCTCTGTCGTGAGCGTGTTTTTTTCTTTGGTGTAGCTTGATTTTGATGTGAGGGCGATGTTGTTTTTTCAGTTCTAGATCCAGTCTTTTGTTTAGCAGTTTTTTTCATTTTTACCTGAGATGTGGTTGTAATAATTTTAAAAGCAGTTCTCTGAGTTGTGGGTGTGGTTTTCAGTTTTGGTGATGCACTCCTCGGTATCAGGGATGCAGTTGTCTGTATTGAGGGTGCGCTAGTCTGTGTTTGAGATGTTGTTTGTGTTTGACGTGTGGTTGTTTGAGTTGTGAATGTTTTCTTGCCCCTGCTGCATCCTTTCACTTTCCTGTGATTTATCTGGAAGGTGTCTCCTCTGGGAGGACCTCTTGGAACACAGTCCCGTGGGGGGGCAAATAGCTTGGGGCGGTTCCCTTTGGGGTTTTTCCTGGTTGGGCTAGACAAGGGTCTCACTGTAAGCAGGTTTTCCCCGGTGCCTGCTGATGTTTGGGGGTCACTGCTGCCACCATGTTCACTGGTCGTGCGGTTGATGGTGTAATCTATGGGATTTTTGAAGACAGCATATGGGGCCACTTTGGCCACCTTGCACCTGCACAGAGCAAACATTGACTTATTAGACAGCCCAAACATGCCAAGAGAGAATCCTTTCATTAACTCATAGGCAGTGTTGGGGTCTTTACTCAAAATAAGTAATGTAATACCTATTACTCGTTACTTCTTTCAACAGTAACGAATTACTTTACTTATTACTCCCTGGGAAAAGTAATTAGTTACACTACTATATTACTTTTGCGCTACACCCCAAAACATTGGCGCTCAATGTAAACATTACATTACGTAGGCCTATACACAAACACAAGTAGCTTAATAATGACAGACACAAAATCTACTACATACCAAGCTACAAGCTTGTTCAGCTCTTCCCGAGTTAAAGCCTGTCATCCTGAATGATTAAAATCAAGCCTTGGTTGTTTGGAGGAGGTAGGCCTACACAGTCATCTTCAACAGCAGTGATCAGGCCTCGGGGGTTTTCCGCTATGAGTTTTGTCTTGGCGTGTTGCTTTTGCAGGTGCTTCAAGAGATTGGAAGTTGTGTTTCTAGCAGTGCACCGTTTTTTCTTGCCTGGGCACAGTTGATGTTTTAAGGTTATATTATTTTAATTTTGTCCTCCTACCAAATCAAAGTTTAGTTTATTTGCACAAATAGAAAGACAGTTTGTAACAGTAAAGAAAAATAAACATATATATGTGCAGGAGGGGGGAAAAAAGCCCAAAAGTAATGGGAGTACTTCCACACTGAGAAACTCAATGTTTTAGACGCTTCTGCCATTTTTCATCGCCCTCACTAAAGCAGTTTGTAGTAACGCGTGCGTAAACAGGAACTTGGTGAGAGGACGTCGGACTTAGGACGAAAACAATGGTAGAATATGGGGCGGGGGGATTTTTTCTATATTGCGCCAACAAAGAGGGAATAATAATAATCACAAATATTTATTTGGATCCATAACTGTAATGGGAAGGGTAACAAAAGTAACGACGACCTATCTTTGATCAGTAACTAATATTATTACTCAAATTGGAACAGTATTCCATTATATTACTTGTTACCGCAAAAAGTAATAGTATTATTGTAACGCTTTACTTTGTAACGCATTACCCCCAACACTGGCCATAGTTCTCTCTGTATTTTCACAACATTGTCAATATTAGCTGTTTTCCTTAATTTTGTGTACATTAGCTTACTGGTTGTATTTTTTGTAATTTCAGAGTCACTGTATATTTCATATAGAACAAAATAAATACATACAGTAATTATATTATACAATCTAAACAAGTTTCACTGCGTATTTTAAATATAGGGAATTACTTTTAATTTTCAACGTTTTGCTGGGATGGACCAGGGCAATGTGGTGTTGTTGCCTGGAGGAAGGGTGAGGGGGCTGGATATCAGGCAAGTTATCACAAGCATCTACATTTAAACTGGAGAGCTTCTGCTGCTGTTTCAATTGCCTATCATATGATCCCTATTACATTTTTTGGTGAAACAATAGCATGTCCCATATTACTATCCTTATCACAGTTATTACAGTATTATAGAACAAAGTCCATGTACTGTAAACACTTGATCAGGACAATATCACTTACCCACACTAAATTATTTTTGACAGACAGTACTCACATTCCCCACCAGTTAAGCTCAGTGCATTGACTCCTGGGAGTGAACTCGAAGCAGGGCATCTTGAGGAGGTTGAAGAAGCTGAAGCCCACCATATTGGAGATGGTATCATTTACACGCTGGAGGCACTGGCGAAACCTGATGACAACAGAAAGAAGGGTAGGTAATGCTAAGACCGTGGCATTAAAGGGACATAAAAAAAATATATATATATTCATCATCTCCAGCCCCACCCGAACATGTGAAAATGGTGCGTTTCTGTGTTGTAGTAAAAAAAAAGAGGAATATAAGTGTTTCCAATGACATCATCAACCAATTAGTAGTCAATGCCTACTCATAATTGGTTAAAATCACATGATGCACACTGATGATGTCATTGGAAACACTTCTCTTCCTCTATCTTTTACTACAGAACATAGAAACGTGCCATTTGCACATATGTTGATGTTGGGGTGCTGCTGGAAAGAATGAATATGAAGCTTAACATGTCCCTTTAAGTAGTCAGTTCTCTCCTAAGCTTACCAGTGCTGTTTTAAGCTCAAACAACAAACATCAGGGATCTCTCACCAAAGGAATAGTTAAAATAGGTTGGCAAACTTGGCATGTTGTCAACAAGAGCAAATCATACTGAATTGTAATACACTTATTCATATTGAATAGTTGATGATTTTCCCATCATTTATTTAAAGCCAATGTGTCCAACAGAGCCACATATCGTAGCTGCTTGGTAGTCACAGGGAAAAGTGACAAATCAAAACATGACATTTTACAGGAAGATTTAAATTGCTTTCATGAAAAGTGATGTGCTATACATCCAATTATGTAACTACTTGGTGCTTACTAGAGCTCTGCTAACCGACCAGAGCCCAACATTATACAGTGGGGAAAAAAAGTATTTAGTCAGCCACCAATTGTGCAAGTTCTCCCACTTCAAAAGATGAGAGAGGCCTGTAATTTTCATCATAGGTACACGTCAACTATGACAGACAAAATGAGAAAAATTTTTTTTTTATGAATTTATTTGCAAATTATGGTGGAAAATAAGTATTTGGTCAATAACAAAAGTTTGTCAATACTTTGTTATATACCCTTTGTTGGCAATGACACAGGTCAAACGTTTTCTGTAAGTCTTCACAAGGTTTTCACACACTGTTGCTGGTATTTTGGCCCATTCCTCCATGCAGATCTCCTCTAGAGCAGTGATGTTTTGGGGCTGTCGCTGGGCAACACGGACTTTCAACTCCCTCCAAAGATTTTCTATGGGGTAGAGATCTGGAGACTGGCTAGGCCACTCCAGGACCTTGAAATGCTTCTTACGAAGCCACTCCTTCGTTGCCCGGGCGGTGTGTTTGGGATCATTGTCATGCTGAAAGACCCAGCCACGTTTCATCTTCAATGCCCTTGCTGATGGAAGGAGGTTTTCACGCAAAATCTCACGATACATGGCCCCATTCATTCTTTCCTTTACACGGATCAGTCGTCCTGGTCCCTTTGCAGAAAAACAGCCCCAAAGCATGATGTTTCCGGGCCTGGACATGTACTGGCTTAAGCAGGGGGACACATCTGGCACTGCAGGATTTGAGTCCTGGCGGCGTAGTGTGTTACTGATGGTAGGCTTTGTTACTTTGGTCCCAGCACTCTGCAGGTCATTCACTAGGTCCCCCCGTGTGGTTCTGGGATTTTTGCTCACTGTTCTTGTGATCATTTTGACCCCACGGGGTGAGATCTTGCGTGGAGCCCCAGATCGAGGGAGATTATCAGTGGTCTTGTATGTCTTCCATTTCCTAATAATTGCTCCCACAGTTGATTTCTTCAAACCAAGCTGCTTACCTATTGCAGATTCAGTCTTCCCAGCCTGGTGCAGGTCTACAATTTTGTTTCTGGTGTCCTTTGACAGCTCTTTGGTCTTGGCCATAGTGGAGTTTGGAGTGTGACTGTTTGAGGTTGTGGACAGGTGTCTTTTATACTGATAACAAGTTCAAACAGGTGCCATTAATACAGGTAACGAGTGGAGGACAGAGGAGCCTCTTAAAGAAGAAGTTACAGGTCTGTGAGAGCCAGAAATCTTGCTTGTTTCTAGGTGACCAAATACTTATTTTCCACCATAATTTGCAAATAAATTCATTAAAAATCCTACAATGTGATTTTCTGGAATGTCTTTTCTCAATTCCGTCTTCAAGAGAGCGAGAGTTGCTCCCCTTCTCAAAAAACCAACACTCGATCCCACTGATGTCAACAACTACAGACCAGTATCCCTTCTTTCTTTTCTTTCCAAAACTATTGAGCGTGCCGTCTTTAGCCAACTCTCTTGCTATCTCTCTCAGAATGACCTTCTTGATCCAAACCAGTCAGGTTTCAGGACTGGTCATTCAACTGAGACTGCTCTTCTCTGTGTCACGGAGGCTCTCCGCACTGCTAAAGCTAACTCTCTCTCCTCTGCTCTTGTCCTTCTAGACCTGTCTGCTGCCTTTGATACTGTGAACCATCAGATCCTCCTCTCCACCCTCTCCGAGCTGGGCATCTCCGGCGCGGCTCACTCCTGGATTGCGTCCTACATGACCGGTCGCTCCTACCAAGTGGCGTGGCGAGAAGCTGTCTCCGCACCACGTGCTCTCACCACTGGTGTCCCCCAGGGCTCAGTTCTAGGCCCTCTCCTTTTCTCCCTATACACCAAGTCACTTGGCTCTGTCATATCCTCACATGGCCTCTCCTATCATTGCTACGCTGACGATACACAACTAATCTTCTCCTTTCCCCCTTCTGATAACCAGGTGGCGAATCGCATCTCTGCATGTCTGGCAGACATATCAGTATGGATGACGGATCACCACCTCAAGCTGAACCCTGGCAAGACGGAGCTGCTCTTTCTCCCGGGGAAGGACTGCCCGTTCCATGATCTCGCCATCACGGTTGACAACTCCGTTGTGTCCTCCTCCCAGAGTGCGAAGAGCCTTGGCGTGACCCTGGACAACACCCTGTCGTTCTCCGCTAACATCAAGGCGGTGACCCGATCCTGCAGGTTCATGCTCTACAACATTCGGAGAGTACGACCCTGCCTTACACAGGAAGCGGCACAGGTCCTAATCCAGGCACTTGTCATCTCCCGTCTGGATTACTGCAACTCGCTGTTGGCTGGGCTCCCTGCCTGTGCCATTAAACCCCTACAACTCATCCAGAATGCCGCAGCCCGTCTGGTGTTCAACCTTCCCAAGTTCTCTCACGTCACCCCCCTCCTCCGCACACTCCACTGGCTTCCAGTTGAAGCTCGCATCCGTTACAAGACCATGGTGCTTGCCTATGGAGCAGTGAGGGGAACGGCACCTCCGTACCTTCAGGCTCTGATCAGTCCCTACACCCAAACGAGGGCATTGCGTTCATCCACCTCTGGCCTGCTGGCTCCCCTTCCTCTGCGGAAGCATAGTTCCCGCTCAGCCCAGTCAAAACTGTTCGCTGCTCTGGCACCCCAATGGTGGAACAAGCTCCCTCACGACGCCAGGACAGCGGAGTCACTCACCACCTTCCGGAGACATTTGAAACCCCACCTCTTTAAGGAATACCTGGGATAGGATAAAGTAATCCTTCTACCCCCCCCCCCCCAAAAAAAATAAATAAAAAAATAAAATAAATTATTGTAAAGTGGTTATCCCACTGGCTATAGGGTGAATGCACCAATTTGTAAGTCGCTCTGGATAAGAGCGTCTGCTAAATGACGTAAATGTAAATGTAAATGTATAGTTGACGTGTACCTATGATGAAAATTACAGGCCTCTCTCATCTTTTTAAGTGGGAGAACTTGCACAATTGGTGGCTGACTAAATACTTTTTTCCCCCACTGTACGTCGGGTTAGGGCCGGGTAGGGCCTGTTGATTCATAACTAGGGCACGGGCAAGGCTCGGGTATCACTAAATGGATCACTAACATTTTGAAGCCGAGCCATTTGTGCATGCTCTGCTGTAGAGCCCTGCACAGGCATGAATTTTAAGCCCGAGCCCTACCCATGCCCGCAACGTTCAGGCCCTACCCTACCCAGGCCTGATTGCTTCTGCAAAATGTAAGGCCCGGCCCTGCCCAAAGCCCGAAATCATAAATAACTTCCTCTGTTAGTAAATCCATTAGCTTCAGGTAGCAGAGCTCTAGTGACAGAGAGAGGAGCAGCTAATGGATTTACTAAATTTGGCAGAAGCAATCGGGCCTGGGTAGGGTAGGGCCTGAATGTCGCGGTCATGGGTATGGCTTAAAATTCATGCCTGTGCAGGGCTCTAGTGCTTACTGTGGAATTAATACAGTGTCTGGCCTTGTCAGTTAAACCTTGGAGGAGAATGAGACTGCATTGTCTGTCTGGCACTCATGCTTTAAGGAAATTAATTAGAGTATAAGCGTATTACACAAGCATCTGTCTGTGTTCTGTGGCAACTCAGAGCTGGGAGTTGACACCTCACCTCATCTCCAAAGTGTCTGATTATGAGTCCTGAAAGAGACCAGCAATTATTGCTCACCCTACACTCTTAGAAAAAAAAGTGCTAAGTAGAATTAGGGTTCTTCGGTTTGTTCCCATAGGTGAACGCTTTTTGGTGCTAGGTAGCACCCTTTGCAGAGGGTTTTTACCTAGAACCTTCTATGTAGGGTTCTTCATAGAACCCCCTGTAAATAGTTCTACCTAGAACCTCTATGAAAAGGTTATTTCTAGAACCCTCTATGAAAGGTTCTACAAAGAACCCTTTATCTTTGAAGGGTTCTTCCTAGAACCCTATATGAACGGTTCCACCAGCCTGATTAGACTTTAAAATGTAAACTTTTCATGACAATACATTATATAAATCATAAGACCTTTCTTTGAGGGCCTAGTTAGACCCTAACACAGTGGTGTTAGGAAACTCCTCGTTTACAGGCCACATCAGGCCTGTAAGTCACATTATGCTCGCTTTCAAAGTGTAATTCCTATTGGAATCCAGCCAGAGTGAGGATATCCAACAATTTGAACTTTTAAATCACCCGCAACCTGCATTCAGAATGACTGCCAGGGTAAGGAAGATGATTTAGGTAGTCTCATTAATCAATCTAAACTGGAACAACAATCCCAGTAAGGTGTGCAATAGTAACAGATTGGATTAGTTTAGAAAAATGTATTTTATCTTTGTGTAGCATAAGATTAATCAACCAATCAATGTACATGCAATACACAGCTATTGAAACAAACAATTCTGAAAATGAACCTGTAATTAGAGCATGCTGGGAAATATGATAATGATGGGCGTGGTTTTGAGTGTTTTACTCTACACAGTGTAAATATTACACAATCACACTAAACTCTGGTTATACCACCAGTTAAGTTAATTTGACTCCTAAATCAAAACTAGAATGTTACCCTGAAAAATCAACACTAGGTAAAACTGGCCAATTTGCTGTGTACCATACAATACACTGCTGGTTTACTCATACTCCCTTCTATTCTCCTACTCTCTGCTCAATAAAAAAATCACAGAAAATACTCATTTGAAAGACATAAATCATGGCAAAGATATCAACTATGTCAGTACTGTATAAGTAAAATGACTAAGGGAATACCAGATACATGCATACATATTCCCATATTGGTACAGTTTAAAACATTTTCACATCTATCTTTTTAAACTCATTACTCAAACTCCTGATGTTAAAGTTTAAGCACTGAGGTAAACTAATGCTCAGGCACTATTTAAAAGTATGAAAAATGTTTACAATAAAAAACTTATTCAGAAGGGTATGTAGAACCCTTATTGCCTTCCAAAGAATCATTCTTGCCTTCCAAAGAATCGTCAAAGAAAACCAGTTTTTCCAAAAACAGTTTTTAGGATGTTAAAGGTCCTAGGTAGAACCCTTTGCCTTACAAAGAACCCTTGTCTTCCAAAAATGGTTCTTCAGATGAAAACGCTTCTTGGTAGAACCCTATCCCTCCGCAAAGAAGCCTTTTGGAACCCTTTTTTCTAAGAGTGTACAGACATAAAAAGTGTGCATGTTCTCTCTTGACATCAAAAGTATATATTTTGAGGGTCTATCACAGAGCATGTTATAAAGTCAGACAAGCTTTATTTTTTTATGGGGGAGTGTGACTTTTTTTCATTCACCTTATTTTATTGGTGCATGCATTGCGGTAATCCAAATTGGGGTGCCATTTAAAGATGCACTATGCAGAAATCACGCCGTCATTTCCTGGTTGCTAAAATTCTAATAGTTCACTTAATTTCCGTTTATGTGACAAAACAAGCAAGTATAGTGTAGAGAATCATTGTACCATCTAAACCGCTGTGAAATATATTTTCCATAACCATAACTATTGCATTTTCAACTATTTGAAGCTGGTGTACAAAATCGAAAGTAATAGACGCAAAAACTAAACTTAAGAACGGGAAGCATAGAAATAGCGTGCATAGAACATATCTACCGCTTCTTAGACTTGCTTTCAATGAGAATGACAGATCTGTAACTAACATTTCTATTCGAATTTGGTCGGGTCGCCCAAAAACTTACATATTGCAGCTTTAGAAAATAAATGCCTATCAGTTGGCAGATGAGTCATGCACCATGTACCACACCCCTGAAAAATAAGGTCAGCATAATAAAAAGTCACTCTTTATTGAACTTTATTGAGCTATAGCTCAATAAAGCTCTAAGGAGTTCCCCTTCAGGGGACAGGAATATGTGTCATCCCTGGAATGTGATAGATGCTGCCCAGGGGCGACACACTGAGGCTCACCTTTGGTCACAGTCGCAGTGTGAGATGGTGAAGAAGTTGGGGTTGAAAACACCATAGTTCACCGTGAAGGAGGGGATAGTGTTACTGCAGTGGTCATGCTCACGGCAGCACCCGTCCGCTCGCTCAAACATTCCTACAACAAGAAACAAACAGTGGAGAGACTAAATAAGTCCCTCAGATCCTTAAATACACATTTCATGTGTAATGACACATTGCTACAGTGGGTGGTCGGCAGTAGCACCAAGCACAAACGTTATAGATAATAAGTAAGATGTGACATAGTGCTTGCTGGAACAGAAGTAGGCCTACAGTACACACATGGCAACTCCAAGGAGTTGTCCTGATCAAATAGGTTACAGACAAATAGGGATAAGGAATTACATTTACATTTTTGTCATTTAGCAGACGCTCTTATCCAGAGCGACTTTACAGTTAGTGAGTGCATTTTTTTTTTTCATACTGGCCCCCGTGGGAATCGAACCCACAACCCTGGCGTTGCAAGCGCAATTATCTACCAACTGCGCTACAGGGGGTTGTGCCCTGTGCCCAATTTGAGGCTAGATACAAATGTTTCAGTTATGAATTCTGTCCTCTGTGTGTGACCATGCCATACGTTGTCCAGAAACAGCTATCCTATAACATGGCTCTTGTTTTCACTATACATCCAAATCATTACATTATGAAGCGGCCCAAATATGGTTTTAAGAACAGAAGGCTGTCCCAACTTTGAAACAAATTAGGTATAGGCCCTTTTGATAGAATATGACAGGGTATATACTATTATGTGATATTTCATTCAGAGTATAATATTCAGTCTTTTCACTGATAAAAGTGTTGGATGGTGTGAATTACAAATGTATAGATACATTTATACTGTAGATAGCCTACTGTATTTTGATTCTATAGGACACATCTAATTGAAAGACATCTCTGGTGATCAGCATGTGTGAAGTGTAAATATTATTCTACTCACCTAACTGTTTGTAGTCAATCGCTTTGCTTCCAGTGCCACACCAAAGTGTCCCAGGAAATACCCACGCGCGTTTCCTACGGGATTTTGCACCCGAAATATGTTGTTGCTCTAATGGGTCATGTTTCGTCTGTTTGGTAAATCCATCGACAGGACTCAGTGGGCACAGGTTGTCTGGACTCAACAACGCCCTGATATTTAAGTGGGAGAATTCCACGGGGCTCTCCGAGCGCGTTTGGCGGCAAAGATACAGGTAACTGCCAGTGGCTACAGGGTCGTCGTTAATTGAGCATTTTACAAGCTGCTTCTCTGACCATTCGCTTACATATAACATCAATGTATGGGTCCCGACCATATTTCGGAGGAAGCTCAGGCGCGTGTGTCCTAGTCCAGTGAAACTCGTCCTGTGGCAGAAATTGGCATTTTGCGCGTCCGTCCCTGCTAACATCTTCACATCATGTGCACTTAGCAAACTGAGCAATGACAAGCACAGAACAAATTGCAATAAACTTTTGTTTATCATCTCAAAAATAGTCTATAGACTAAATGATATTATTACATCAATGAAAAAAGTAACAGCAGTCTCAATAGAGCTCGCCAGTTTATAGTCCTAAAAACCGGAAATTAGTTGCCTCTGGTTCGTTCAGTCCGCCACAGTGGACGTCATAATACCTATAAAAACACGGATATGGTTCCAATGTTTTTTCCGCCATTCATTTTTCACATCGTGAATTTTACAAACACTTCAAATGAAGTGTGTGTTTGGTGTAGGATTACCTTGGCGTGACGTTTTGATAACCGTGCAATTCTCTCTCAGACAAGGTGAGTTTTATCAATACATTCGCCTCAATTTATGGGTATATGAACTCTCAAAAATTCGAAATGTTAATTAGCAACAGAGAAGACCTCATCAAGACTATGAATTCCTGCAGGAAGCTCCTGCACATCATCTTTAGCCTACACTGTCAGCTACCGACCAGCGCAAGCAGAGAGACCTGTGCCCAATCCATGATGAATCCATGTGCTGTATTGAAATTCATTGAATAAAGTGTTGAACTTCTTCCTAGTTTGCAGAGCAGCAGATCAAAAAATAATTTTGTATTACCAGTGGTGGAAAAAGTAACCAATTGTCATACTTGAGTAAAAGTAAAGATACCTTAATTGAAAATGACTGAAGTAAAAGTCACCCAGTAAAATAGTACTTGAGTGAAAGTATTTGGTTTTAAATATACTTAAGTATCAAAAGTAAATGTAATAGCAAAAATATACTTAAGTATCAAAAGTAGAAGTACAAATATTTAAAAATTCCTTATATTAAGAAAACCAGATGGCACAATTTTCATTAAAAAATTTTTTTTTTACAGATAGCCAGGGGCACACTCCAACACTCAGACATAATTTACAAACAAAGCATTTGTGTTTAGTGAGTCTGCCAGATCACAGGCAGTGGGGATGACCAGGGATGTTCTCTTGATAAGTGGGTGAATTGGACCATTTTCTGTCCTGCTAAGCATTCAAATAATAAATGTATGGAGTAAAAAGTACAATATTTTCTTTAGGAATGTAGTGAAGTAAAAGTAAAGTACAGATACCCCCCCAAACTACTTAAGTAGTACTTTAAAGTATTTTTTACTTAAGTACTTTACACCACTGTGTATTACTTAGCCTAGATATTGTTTGGACAGTATGTTGATTTTGGTGTCTATTTCAGACCTTATGGCATTTTTCAAGGAATAGCTTTAAAAGGGGTGAAGAAAGTGGGTTGTAATTGTAGCGTTGGTATTAAGAGATTCATACAGCATACAGTAGGCTAAGGCTTACATATCTCACAAACATTTTGTAGAAAGTATATGCTCTGTCAGGTGGAGAATATAAAAGGGGAGGAAAGGATTCAATGTGTTACAATAGACCTCAAAGTGTAATAATGCGTGGGATACAAGTTTTAAGCCATAACATTAAAGGTTGTAACAGCCCAATTAAGAGGAAAAAGATACTTGACCAACTTAAGCGAATTAAGTGTGAAATAGCCTTTCTACAGGAGACCCACCTGTCTGATGAGGAACATTCAAAACTGGCTAGGTCATGGGCTACACAGGTCTTCTTTTCATCACATAGCTCAGATTGTAGACAGGGTGTTGTAATTCTAATACATAGGTCTGTCCAATTTAGCCTATACTCCAAATTTACGGACGAAGAGGGGAGATATGTACTGGTTAATGGCTTAATGGCTCCATCTGGGGTGTCGGGGTCTCTATGTTTAACATATATGCACCACATGACAATAATCCACAATTTATCAAGAATATGTTTGACTTGGTCTTAGAAAAGGCACGCGGGATTGTTTTAATTGGGGAAGACTTCAACTGTGTTTTGTCAACCTTGTTGGATAAAAGTCCCTCTTCTCATGTACCTCCTTCCACCACCATGAGCAGAACTCTTAAACACAGATGTGAGGATCTGGGTTTCATAGAGGCCTGAAGACATACAGTATGCACCCCAGAGACAGAAACGATACATTTTATTCTCATCCCCATAACTCTTACTCCAGAATAGACTACTTTTTGGTATCTAAAAACGAATCCCATAGGGTTCTGGACTGTAAGATTAGTAGTAGTATAACTCTCAGTAACCATGCCCCAGTCTCTATAATGTGGGACGTTGAAAGGAACACCTCAGCAAATCGCTGGAGGCTCAACACCTCATTGGTAGGGGACACTGGCTTCTAAGACTACATCAGGACAGAGTTTATGCAATTCCTTGAATTCAATGATACAGCAGAGATGTCTCCTACAACTCTGTGGGAGGCAGCTAAGGTGGTATTGAGGGGTAAAATTATTTCTTTTTCTTCAACCTTGAAAAAAGCTAGAGTGTCCAAATGTTTAGAACTTGAAGAAAATAGAAGGTCTAGAACAACAACAGAGGGCGACAGCTGAAAATCTAACACAGCTAAATGAGGCGTAGAGAGCACTAGATGGATTGCTGACAGAGAAGGTAGAAAGAAACCTACAATTTTTAAAACAGATACTATGATCATGGGAGTAGAGCCAATTGACTTCTGGCATCTCAACTCAGGTAACAGTCTGGATTGACAATTGTACAGAAAATTAAAAGCAATAATGCAGACAAACCCTTTCTGTACAAACCCAAATAAATATCTGATGCCTTTGCTAAGTTCTAGAATATATTTTACTCTTACACAGACATGTGGGGATGTCCACAGAAAGGATCCCTATTTGGATTCCATTCATTTACCCAAAATAGATCAAACTGCCTCAAAAAACATTGATGCTCCAATAACAAGGGAAGAGATTGAGGACACTAAGAGATTGAAGAATGGCTACTCAAATTAGTTTTATAAAACTTGTATTGACCTCATTAGCCCACTGTTGGAGAGGGCCTATTCCCATGATCTCCAGAAGGGGGCGCTCCCGCTATGCTGGAAGGAGGCGATTATATCTGTCATCTACAAAGAACATGAAGATCCACAGAATGCACCTCATACAGGCCAATTGCACTTCTAAATACAGACTGTAAAATCTTGACCTCCATATTGGCTAAATGGTTGGAGGCAGTGATTACAACAATAATACATCCAGACCAAACAGGTTTCATTACTGGTCGTCACCTACCTGATAACATACGTAGATTGCTTAACATTATGTCCCACTCCATTCCCCAACTAGTGCCATGCATTGCATTGGCACTGGATGCTGAAAATGCCTCTTCCGAACATTTGAAAAATTGGGATTTGGTCCGAATTTCATTAAATGGATTCAGTCATTATACTCTGCCCCACAAGGCATAGTCAGAGTAAATGGCAGCTTCTCTCAGTCCTTCCAGCTGGAACGAGGATGTAGGCAAGGTTGCCCTCTCTCGCCACTCCTGTTTGCCATAAGCATTGAACCCTTAGTTCAAATAAGGAACAATGCTGATATCAAAGGAATAAAGTTTGGAGATGAAACGCATAAAATATCATTCATTGTACGCTGATGATGTTGTGGTCACATATTTAGGAAATACTATACCTGCGGATCTGGATAACTTATACAAAGCCAACTACACCAAGCTGATAGATAGAATCAAAGGAGATCTGGACCGCTGGTCTGTGTTGCCACTTACCCTATCAGGAAGGGTAGAATTAATAACATTGAACGTATTACCTAGATTACGGTTCCCCTTTCAAACGCTTCCAGTTTCACCACCACAAATCTATGTTTGTGCTATTACACAGATTCATATCCAGATATATCTGGCAGGGACGACGTACTACAATTGTAAAAACAACAGGGAGGATGGGGACTACCTAATCTTTAAACATTACTGGTTTGCAACCAAATTTAGGGCCATGACCGTATGGATGCCTGAGGCTGTAGGTAGAAGATTGCTGGAAATAAAGTCAGAATGTACTTCGGTCCCTCTATCTGTATGCCCATTCACTGAGGAAAAAATATCAAGTGAGACATGTGGAAAATGGGCAGAAACCACATATAAAGCTTGGAAAGAGGTGCAGTGAGCTTTCAACCTTCCTACAGGAATCTGTGTTATCACTTATTGTACATATGAAGGGTTTTAAGCCATTACGATTAGACACAGGTTTTAGAAACCTTGCACAGTTGAAACTTCAATATGTCCATCAAATATTTGAAAAGGGTACTCTAAAATCATTTGAAAAACTGAGCTCTGAGTTTAATATACCAAGGTCAGCCTTCTTCAGGGATCTACAAGTGTGAAGCATTCTATCCAAACACCCAAATTGGATATGGTTACAAGGCACCCCCTCTGAAATATAACAATATTTAGCCAGAGTTCAGGAGAATCAATGCACTGAGAAACCAACAACTAACCTATGCAGGGCTTTATCAGCCATGAAACAAGATAACACATTTATTATTTGACAGATGTGGGAAGGTGAACATCATCAAAATATACAGTGCATTCGGAAAGTATTCAGACCCCTTCCCGTTTCCACATTTTGTTACGTTACAGCCTTATTCTAAAATTGATGAGGATTTTTATTTATTTAATCCATCTACACACAATACCCCATAATGACAAAGCAAAAATAATTTAAAAAACAAACAGAAATACCTTATTTACATAAGTATTCAGACCCTTTGCTATGAGACTCGAAATTGTGCTCAGGTGCATCCTGTTTCCATTGGTCATCCTTGAGATGTTTTTACAACTTGATTGGAGTCCACCTATGGTAAATTCAATTGATTGGACATGATTTGGAAAGGTCGCACACCTGTCTATATAAGGTCCCACAGTTGACAGTGCATGTCAGAGCAAAAACCAAGCCATGAGGTCGAAGGAATTGTCCGTAGAGCTCCGAGACAGGATTGTGTCGAGGCACAGTGTCATGAATGTCTGTGGAATGCGGTAGGCCAGAGTCAAGCACAGGACACAGAATGAAATGAAAATCTACTTTACTGTATAGTAAAGAAACAAGCAAAACCTCCAACACAGGGAG